ATTTGTTGACAAAGTGATAATGAATCATAATATGATATTATATACGGGGTGTTCCATTTGAAAAATCAAAGAAGCCGCTACTTTATAGTAGAAGCGACTACGCCGCTTCGTCTGAAATATTTTAGGCGTGTAGGTCATATTGACCTATGCATAGTGTGGAATTTTCAGGTTGATCCGTTGAATAGTTTCCCAGAAACGGCTAATTAACGCTCATCATGAAAAACGCTGTATATTCAAGGTGCTGTCTACCATATGAGATGATTCGTACATAAGGTATCACTGATGATATATTAAATTCAGCCCTGCAGGACTTTTTCACTTCAGGTTTTGAGCTTGAGCTCAGAACCTGCTCAGGGATGGGTTGTTTTTTCTTCTAATGCAGATACTGTTTCTGCTACCCAATAATTTGGTGCAAGTCGATGAGATATTCTGCTTTTGAGGAGCACTTCCTAGTTTTCCAAGTTTGTTCAATAGTTGGAGAAATAAAAAACTCCTGCTCTGAATCGGAAATCACAGTGGAGACAGTCATTTGCTCAATCGCTATCATCTGCAGATCCAGTTTGAAGGTGAGAGAGCTGAGGAGATTTTCCTCCTGTTACAAGAATGTTCGTTGGGGTTGTTCAGTCGACGTCCATCTCTTTGTAGACTCAGGGTTGGATTTTTTGATTACCATATGTTTCAAGAGATCCGCCCCATGGGTACAAAAAAGTAGGAAACGGAAGTCCATATCGGGAGAACACTGCGTTACAAGGCCCTCCATGACAGGAGGGCACCTCGAAGGCTAGATTAGTTACACTAGATGAACTCTGAGCCATACCCCGAAGCTGCTGGATTCCATCCAGAAAAGAGCCATACGCTTTATTGGAGACGCGAACATCAATTGCAATCTTGGTAGGCTGGAACATCGAAAAAAGGTTGGAGATGTGTCTCCCCTATAGATATTTTCACGGGAAGTGTTTAAGTGACTTGGCACATTTGATTCCACCATATCAAAAATACGCGATGTATTGTGACTGCTCATCATTTTGAGGTTCAACTCAGTACACCTCGAACTTCACTGTTTGAGTTCTCTTTCATTTGGAGAACTGCGTTTATGTGGAATAAACTCCCTGAGCACGTTTTCCCAAATGAGTTTAAACTCCAGCGATTCAAATCCAATGTGAATCGCTACTTTCGCGCAGGCACCGCTCTCAAAGTGCCTTGATGATTTTTCTAGTGCTTGTGTTGTGTCCTTCAAAAAAGCGTCATTTAGTATACCTATTTTCTTTACGCGTATCACTTTACCCGATAGGTATATTCTGATGCCACCCGTTCTGCCATAGAGACAAAAATTATTTTTTGTTCCTCATACCAATGAATTCAATAGCAAAATTGTTTTTATAACGCTTGC